AGAAGGAGGTGGACGCATGGGCCCAAAAAGAAGAGGAGACATCAAAGGCAGACGTTGGGAACGTAGAACCAGAAAAGGAGTTCACTGAGAACGAGGTTGAGGCGTGTGTGAACAAGCTGAAGTGCCACAAAGCAGCAGGAGGAGCGGATGGGATAGTCTCCGAGTTCATGAAGTTTGGGGAGAAGGGGATGATCCAGCTGATGGTACTGCTGTGCAATTGGGTGTGGGAAAACGAGTATACGCCAAGTAGATGGAGGGAAGGAGTGGTTGTGAATTTGTTTAAGAAAGGAGACAAGACTGACCCAGGAAACTACAGGGGGATCACACTGTTGAACACAACAGTAGGAAAAGTGTTATGTAAGCTGCTGAATGATAGGATAGTGAGAGTATTGGAGAAGGAATACAGCATTGTAATAACAGTGAGGGCCAGGCAGGTTTCCGAAAGAAGAGGGGGTGCGTAGACCACGCATTCACGGTAGTAGGGAGAATCATCCAAGGTAGCAAGAGGGCGGGAAAGCCGACGCACTGCTTCTTCCTGGACGTGAAAAAGGCATACGATACCGTATGGAGACATGGGCTGTGGAAGCAACTGTCCAAGTACGGGATCAAGGGGAAAATGTAGAGAGCGCTGAAGAAGATGACAGAGTGTACGAAAAGCGCGGTCATGCTAGACGGAGAACTGTCAAAATTATTTGACATTGAGCAGGGGGTCCCACAAGGTTGCACGCTGTCCCCAATATTGTTCCAGGGGCGCCTTCCGGTATATGGCGGGGAGGGGTTGAGATTGATAATGTTGCCAAACCACCTAAGCTCTGAAAATTCAGTTGTGGGTTGCTCTCGGTGTGTAGATGCGATATTCGGTCTCAGATTTTTAATCCGGGGTCGGGAAGGTGAGTTTTCAGCGAAACTTGGTGATTTGTCTTACTCAATGTATGGGGAAACGCAAATCAGGGGAAACGAACTTTCTTCCCCCCCCCGGGGACAAAACGGGGATTTGCCCTTTCTTGCCCATTTTAAGCGCTTTTTTGACCGCTGTTCCGGTAAGAACAAACCCTACAGTTTTTGCAAACTTAACTGGCCACTTTCGACCAGGGGACAAGAAATTTATGTCCCCCCCCCGGGGACAAAACGGGGATTTCCTCTTATCTTGCCCATTTTATTCGCTTGTCAGGCCACTGTTCCGGTAGAACAACCCTACAGTTTTTGCACACTTAACTGGCGACTTCACACCAGGGGACACGAAATTTTTGTCCCCCCCCGGGCACAAAACGGGGAANTTACCACCAAGAGTAAAGGGTAGCGCACAATACTTGCAAACGTTGCGTTCGACACCACACCAGAAAAAGCAAGAAGAACAACAAACGTCGACGAGTTCCATTCTTGTGGTTGGCAGCCAACACATCCATCCATCCCTAGCCCACCTCCGGGAACCTCTTCTTCGCGATACTTACGCGACCTCTTGAGCTTACGTATTGCGCTTCCTCCCGCTCCCCCTCCTCCTCCCCCTCCTCCTCCTCCTCCTCCTCCCCCTCATCGTCCTCCTCCTCTCCCTCATCTTCCTTCTCCCCTCCCCCACCCACCTCCCCCATGCTCTCGTCAAGCGTAGGCGCCACTGGGGACTCGTCCGAAGATATGACCGGAAGAATAACGCCGGTCAATTGAGTCCCAGGCGTGCGTCTCCCAACCATCTCTTTTCCCGACTTCTCCATCACCTCGCCAACCAAGTCGGGGTACACCTTCGCTACCATGCAGTCACCGTAGCAGCCTATTCGGCAAGTCGAGCAGTAGCACGATGCGCCCCGAACCCGCAACTTCCAAGATCTGGTGAACTTCTTGGGGGCGGCCCATTTCCTTGCCCTGGACTCGTCTACCACCCACTTCCTAGCCGTCAACACCTTGTCTCCGGCCGCTCCCACCACAAAATCGTCTGTCTGCACCCCTACACTAGTAGCCCACGCAAGACTATAGGTATCCTGCACCTCCCCCTGCCCCTCCTGTTCCCGGGATTCGTCACGTCACTCCGTGTCTTGCGCTNCCCACTTCCTAGCCGTCAACACCTTGTCTCCGGCCGCTCCCACCACAAAATCGTCTGTCTGCACCCCCACACTAGTAGCCCACACAAGACTATAGGTATCCTGCACCTCCCCCTACTCCTCCTCTGGTCCCGGGATTCGTCACGTCACTCCGTGTCTTGCGCTCGTTGTACACGTAGCATCCCTCACTCGCAGCGATCTTGGGGGCGATGTCGTGGTTCGTGTTGTGCATCCGCCGCCGTGCGTTGCTGAAAGCCTCGTGCCGAATGCCGAGAGTGTTGGCTCGCTCGGCAAGGCTCACCCCACCAGACTCAACGGACTTGCACCGCTGGCCGGGGTGGCACACGTCCGTGTCAGTACACGTGTGCTCTCCCGCTCCGGCTGCTACAGCGAGCGCTGTCTGGTAAGTGGTCCACCCTATCGAGCTGTTGCAGTGCTGCTTCAGCGCTTGCAACGACGCGCGGANGTTGGCCGCGTCGATCGCAGCCACCTTAGCTACTGCCCGCTCTGCCGCGCCAGCATCCAGCATGGCCCGTACTCGCTCTATCAACACGGGGTCGTTCTGCATCAAATCCATCGCGCTAGAGCGATGCTCCTCCGCAACCTGCGTACGACGTACCATGTATTAGTATTGGAGGAGTCGGAGGAACATATGAGTGAGTGAGCGACAAATAAACACCACGGTAGCAGCGTCATTGCAGCAGTTACAGCAGTCACCAAATCCGTGCAACTTTAAATGCGCTTTCTGTGCTTAAGATATCGACGTGGTGGAATGTGTTAGATATACAACATATCCACTGAGCTATGTTGTATATCTAACAGAATGGACCTCAATTTGGGGGCAAAGAGGACAGGCAGCGCGTGTACATGTACCAAATTTCAAATTCAAGAATAGAGCAGCTGGCATGAACTGGCGCGCCAGGTAAAGCGCAGTCAATCAAGCACTAGA